TTTTTTTTTTTTTTTTTTTTGTATAAATATATATTATAACCTGTCAAAATCATTCATGTTTTTTTCATACATCAATTTTTCTAAAATATTAAATTTCCTCTGTTATCACATATCATACCAAATACGTATCTAATCATATTAAAACTTTTTTTTTAGAAAAATTAATACCAAAATTTAAGGCTAAATTTTTTTCTCTTTTAAATTTAATATTATTTCCTCTACAATCAAATTTCCCTACAAACTTTTATCACGCGTAATCGACTATTTTACGCGTCACGAAATCCGAATTCCAAAACTACAATTCCTCTCGAAAATCCAATCGAAAACAGTCGAACACACGCACGCACGCACGCACGCACAAAAAAAAAAAAGAGAAAAACAAAAGAGAAAAGAAAAAATAAAAGTCACGCGTGAAATTGCTCGGAATCATACGCATTGTTCTGAGAGCAAAAATATTCCACGAAACGCCTTCGCTGTTCGTCCAAACACAACACGGTCGTTCTTTGTTCGCGACTGAAAACGAACTCTCGCGCGTTTGTACGTGTACTACGTCCGTGTATACAAACGCGCGCGTACCTGTTGGATGTCGATCGAATGAAAATCCTGAAAACGCGGCACAGTTCGTGCGCGATCGGTGACGAAACTGTTAACGTGGCTTGATTTTCGCGCGAATGAGCTCGAGAATTCGTCGTATGCCGGAGAATTTCGATGGTTGGGACCTGTTGCGCACGTTGAAACACGTTCGATGGGGAAACACGGGGGGGAGGGAGGGGGAGAGGAGGGTGCACCGTCGATCGACCGAGAAACGAATCGACCTAGACGCCGCCAAGGAATTCTCGAGTGAGAAAGACTTTGTTAAATACTTAACACGTTCCGCTGCTAATAGGATTTTCATTACCTGCGATGCTGTGTATACTGGGTGAGCCACGAAAACGGGATACACGTTTTGCATACTTTGGACTGGTCGTGAAACACAGAATATTTTTTGGAAATTATATTTTAAGAATTTTCATGATTTTTCAACATTGTTGGTTAATTTTAATTTTCGAAATATTTGAAAACAACGATGGTTGTTAATCAAAATCGAATATTTGTGTCAGCAACAGAGCTTAGACGTTCTTTCTTTGTTATAGTGGAAATAAAATTTATTAAATCATTCATAAGTAACGAGTAAATAAATAAATTGTGTTAAAGATAAAGAGTAATAAAATATTGCTCTGTGATTATAGAACAAATTATATTTTTAGAGAAGAATTACATTGCTCGTGTAATCGTTGATAACCATTATCAAGAGCGCGCAAAATGAACGAGTTATCGATTACGGAATCATTGGTTGTTTTCGTTGAAAATAATTCATCGAGGAATTTCTTTCTTTTTTCTTATTGTTAACTTTTAATAATCTGCTTCTCATTCAGTTTATTAGAACAATAATCTCGAAACGAATATCTTAACCATTGAGATTTGCAACTTTATTAATATTCCATCAATTTGTAACATTCATATCATTCTATAATAATAAGTAGGTTGTACGTATTTTAAATAATCTCTATTTGTTAAAAAATAAGCAAATCTCGATTTAAAATTCATTTCATTTTTCTAAACCACTTTCCTATGCCACTTTTCTTTTTCTTTATCGCTAATCATTCATTAACGAAAGAAAATTTATTCACACTATCATGAAATTTGTTTTCAATCGATACACTTGTTGAAAACCATTCATCTAATCCAAGCACAAAGATATTTTTATAGATATCACAATATAACAAAGAGAAATTATATTTCCCGATTAATAAATTTTATTATTATTTACTATTAACAATACAACAGTATGATTTCATTTCAAAACAATTTCGTTCAAGCATCACTAAACACCACTACAATTCCTAAATATATTCCTAAGGTGTTCGGCTTCAAAAATTTGTGCAAAAATTTAAGGAGTGACACTTTAGACAATAAAATATCGCGAAAATCAAGAACAAAAAAAAGAAAAAAAATTGCATTCGAGGCTTCGTATTCGAGTCAAACGAAGTCGAAAATGCAATTATTTTATTCTTGATTTTTGCTCGAAGAATCACCCCCCAAAATTTTGAAACACCCGTATAATATCTTCTTCTTTTTTTTGTTTTACAATATCCTATCTAGCATTTTTGTTTCTTTTACAACTTGGATCGAAACAGTCTTTAGGTCCCTTGTGTTTTTCTTTGTACGAATATAAAATTCTAATAATTCACAAAAAAAAAAAAAACAGTTTTCACATGCGCTAGAGCTCGAAATACTGGATAGGATATTTCAAGTCAAGGAAGATAGCACACGTTACGTAAATAAACGTACTCTACTCTATGTGCTTGCGAGCGTGTTTAACACCAGAGTGGTCGTTAAAGAGATCAGACTCACCCCCCACCACCATCGGCACCGTGTTAATCATGCCCTGAGACCAATTGGCACTTTTAATTTCGGCAGGCGCGCTCATGAAAGACGCGGATAAGCTGAAGCTGATGCTGCTCGCGTGGAATTATAATCTTCAACAGCAGGCTCAGGCTCAGGCCCAGGCCCAGGCGCAGGCCGCCAACGCGGCCCTCTCGCCAAATAACTCCTCGACAACCACGGCCACCACCGTTGGCACACCTGTCACCAGTCAATCGGCCATATCCACGGCAAACAACACCATTAACAACTCCACACTTACAGGTAAACACCTTATTTCATCGACCGTGAACGAACCGTGAGCTTCCAATCGTTTTTCCAATTCGTTTTTTCTTTCTCTCTCTCTCTCTGTCTCTCTTTTTTTTAATAAAAGAAAAAGGGGGAAAAATTTTCTTGGAAGAGAGAGCGCGCAGGATTTTTTCGTTTCTATTTGCTTGAAAAGAAAAAAAAAAGAAAAAAAAGAAAAAGATCGGTTGCTTCAACGTTGGTTGGAGACTCGAAGTTTTTGGGATTATGGAAGTCGATATTCAGTTTTTTTTTATCGCTTCTCTTCGTCTTTGGGATGAGGCGACCTTCGATTATTTTAGCATGAACGGAGGAAATTGGTTTTATCGGTTGGGTACAATATTTTCTTAGCATTATTATTGTTGTTACATGTTTCTTCCTTTTTTTATATATACATATAATTTTGAATAAAATTAATCAAATTAGATGGGAGCTAAGTGTCGAATAAGATTAAACTGGATTAAACTAGTGCAAAAATTGGAAAAGTTCGATACGATTCGAATTATTTGTACAAGGAAGAACAGAATAAATGTCGGAGCATGCGAGTTATCCGAAGAGATAAGGATCAGAAGAAAAGTACGATTTAATTCCAGTTCGATGACGGAATCCTGATCTGAAAAGGATCCCGCTATGGCCGCGCGTAAACACGGAGACTTCAATGCTCGAGTTTCGCGTCCTTCTGCGGCGGCCGGTGAATTGCAGGTTTCGCGGGGCCAAGGTGTACCGGGTATTTAGCTCGCGCGAGTTTTGTCGTGGTTTACGGTTGACTAATGGATTGTCGTTCCGTGACGTGCAGCGCAGGAAATGGAGACTGGTAAAGAGTCCTTCTTTGGCCCGTGAAATCGACCGCTTTCGAACTCTGCTTCTCCCCTTTAATCGAACGCGATTAAACGCCGCTAATTAATCGCTTCGCTCATTCGTCATCTCGCCTACTCTCTTTGTGTGCGGAGAAATTTGATTTTCTTTTTTTTTTTTTTTCGAATTCATACACGAAATGCTCCATTTTGAATTGAAATGAAATTATAAACGGTAGATACAGGAATCGAGTTTTGTTTCGAGAAAAAAAAAGGGGGGGGGGACGCGTTAAGACGAGATTGATAGATTGATTAGACTCCATATTGTTGGGAACGATCGTCAGCGCCGTCTTGCGCAATAATCTCTTAACTAGTAATAAATTGACAAGTTATTAAGTTTCTATCTTATTATTATTAGCTTTACACTGTAACAATTTTCTGACAAATATTTATGATTTATGATTCTCTTATAAAGCATTATTCGTTTCGTTATAAAATTCGGAATGGCAAAATTAATTAGCAAGGATGACATTAATCCTGACGATCCCCATAACTCGAATCCCCTCAAATTGAATATTACGCAGCAAATTTTTCCTCGTAAAATTTTTACTTTCACGTTAAACTTTTATTACACCTAATGAATGTCAAGTTTGAAAGAAATTCTTCCGGGGAAAGTCTAAAGAAAAAAATCTTCAAGAAAGTCGAAAATTCTTATTTAATCAAATTTAAGAAATTACCCCTCCAATTGCAACGTTTCCTCCTCGACGCGGACACGAAAGAATTATCGACCAAGCGTAAACATACAGAAACGAATATTTCTTTCGATTCACGCGTATTCGGTTCGTAGAAACACGGCCGAGTGATTCGTAGTTCTCGCAAATTCCTATCGTCGTTCCACGAGAACAGGAACAAATCGCGGATATCCGGCAACTCAGGGATACTTGGAGATATAGAAACGGTGTGAAAGAGAGAGAGAGAGAGAGGGAATGGCTCGAGGATTGAAATCGTTCATTCGGATATTTTTCGCGCTGGAAATGTGTCGTTTCATCGTACGATGGAGTTGATCGATTAATATTGGAAATATGTTGCGAAGACTCGTGAGATTAACCGGATTCGATCGGTGTGATGTTTCATGCTGGATTATTTCGAGAATTCTCGACGCCAATCGTGGCGAATTCGAATGAAAGAGATAATGTGTTCTTTTTTTTTTTTTTTCGTAAATTGTTCATCGAAATTAATTTTTTTCCCCTTTCGTTATCTATTATCGATTTCGATAGAATTTTAGCTCTGTTCTTCCTTCCTTTTTTTTTTTTTTTTTTTTTTTTAATAACCATAAAGAATCTGCGATTAAAATATTCCTTCCACATTATTTCATTCTCAAGCTGTACTAAAAACTGTAAAATTTTGCGCGGCGATTTGGATTAATTGAATTATATATAAATAATTGTCAATCAGTTTATTATTTATCGAATAATATATAATTATACACAGCCAGCTTAACGAGGCAACGCGTTATTTTATCTTTCTCGGATAGAATTATTAATTTTCGTGTAAAAATTCGTGTCTAACGTGTTTTTAACGCGCGATAAATTTCAAAAAAAAGGAAAAAAAAGGAAAGAGAAAAAATCACGATAATTTTACGTTTATTACATATTATGGAACATAATTTCTATCCGAGCGCGCGTTGCATACGCGGCGTGTGTATTTTCTTAAATGACGCCCGTTCGATGAATATCCAGTTATTTCAAGCGCTCGGTTAGGTGAGCAACCATTCCTTATCTCCCATTCAAGGTGGCAAGTATTGATACAACAACCTGTGGTACAAGCGTTAAAAAACCCATTCGGATACTTTGCCGTGTACACACATAGCGATCTTATCACATCAAAACATCGGATACCCGGTTTTCTTCTTACACCGCAAGAAGAATGGATCGATTCAACCAATTCACTCCTATTCCCACCTATGTCGAATTAGACATTGAACTCGAAATGCATGCCCCTTTCTCTTTTCCCATCACGATCGAAGCAACGATTCCTCCTCTTCTCGTCCTTATTTAGGAATCAAGTGTATCTCCAACGACAATACAACTCGGCTCCTGTTAACAGATCCTGATTAATCGAATCAATCTCCTCTTCTCCCCTGAAAAGAAAAGAAAAAACAAAATCATACAATCAAAATAATCCACCAGTAGCCCTCCTCCGCCATAGCGAAGGGTTAAATCATCATCACCACCACCACCACCACCACCACCCACACCGTACACGTCGAAACACGTACGAGAGAGGAGCCTCCTTCTCCTTTCTCCTTTTTCGTCGACCACTCCCGGACCGGGTTCAGTTAGGCGAGGTTGCGGAAGGATAATTCACCGTTGCCCTCTCCCCACTCCTCCTCCCATCCCCTCCCCTCCCCGTATCCGGCGGCGGCGGCCGTTTCGCGAAACTGGTTTCGAACCGGGTCCTCCGGTGTTGTCTCGGACCAGGCCGTTGCGTAACGAACCAGCCCGACCAACACGCGATGGTACGCGGACAAAGCCGAAGGATCGTCTCCTCCTCCCCACCACCGCCGCTCGCGCCTATTCCCCCCACCGGCTGCCTCGTAACAAGCGGCTACGATGACCACAGAGCGCTGTGCGCGGATCGTGCGTTCCAAGGGACTCGCAACGCGACTCTCGTGTCCCCGGACGCGCGTTTCGCAAATCGATTTCGCGATAAACACGCGCGGCGGCGGCGGCGGCCGCCGCCGCTTTACGATCGCCGCGGAAAATTTGCCGGGGAAAATGGCCGACGATATTTTATACCGGTTTACCGGTGTTCCGCCCCACCACTCTCTCTCTCTCTCGTTCTCTCTCTTTGTTCTTCGTCCTCCTGTGTCGTGTTCTGGCGTTTCCAGCGCCACAGGTTTGGAACACCGGGGGTGTGTGTTAATTGAAATGTTTATTCGGGGAAAGGAGGGGGGAGTTGATTTTTTTTTCACAGAGGATGGAAATTTTTAAGCTGCTTTTGATTTTCCACTCCTCTGTTTAGGAGGGAATGAGAGTAGTATTTCGATAGTTTGAACTCGTTTGAACTCTTTTTTTTATCGTGTAATAATAAGCGGACGATGATCCTTCGTTTCAACGCGAAATGAAAATTGAGGAATTAGCGTGGAAAAAGTTGATCGGAACGGTATCCTGTGTACGAGGCGCGGCCACCGTGAATAAAGCCATTAACGGTGGATAGAATTCGAAAACGGTAGCCGGGGAGATAAATCATTTTTTGTATCCCAATAAAACATCTCTTGGAGGAACGATATATCTTGCGGGTGAATTCTTTCCAAGAAAGCTTCTCCCTCTCGTCTTGACGTCGAAGGAACAACTCGAGAGAGGACGGGGAATAAATCTTCGTCCCGTCATCGCGCGTACGGTTATCGCGATTTTTAATCAGTTAATATACTCCTTAGGATGCTCAAGTTGTTCCTTAACGGTAAAGAATCTTTCCACGGCGATGTTCGCCAAAGAGGACACGTACGCTGCATGGTTGATGGTTGGTGTCGTGCGATGGCCGATGCTGATTTTACATAACAAAAGTGATTCTCTCGTACGGCGGCCACTCGATTTCTTTGAAACCGACTGAACCACTTCCACGTATCCTCGCTTTAATTCCGTGAGAGGCGAATCGATCCAATTTCGTCTCGCTCGATATCTTCTTAATTTTAGCGAACCATCTTTATTTTATTTTTATTCACAATTTTTCCTACGTTGAAAAAGGAGTTATTAAAAAGAAAAAAAAAAAAATGGACTCTTCCCAATGAAGAGATATAATCGTTCGTCCAAGAATTTATCAATGTCTTTTGACGAAAATGAAAAATTCCCACGAAACACTGGTCTCAAAGGGGAAATGGAGGAGGTCATTGATCATCGAGGAAAAGCTCGTTTCTCTTCTCTTTTTACGTTACACTGGAAGGTGGAAAAATTCTCGTTATTCTAAGCTTTTATCAAATATCATTGACCAATTGAGAAAGATTTGCTTCTTTCCTTTTTTTTACTTTATACCTTACACGAGAAATAGTGAATTCTAATTGTCAATGTTTAAAAAAAAAGAAAGAAAGAAAAGGAAATCTCGTAAAAAAAATCTTCATAAAAATCTCGTTTCCTTTTTCCTTTCCCTCTTCTTCTCCTTATTATATTTTTCATACCTTTATGGAAA